TTTTTTTTTTTTTTGGCTCGTTAGTCCTGGTCGCTGTTTCTTCTTGGTTCGGTGCTTGGTTCTTGCAAGCCATTTCCGGTGGCCCTCCAAAAGATTCTGAGGAAAGAAACTTACAAGGCGGCACGTGCTGTCTAGGAAGGGAAGCTGAACAAAGGGAGCGAGACCACGGCTGGGCAGTGACGTCAGGTACAGGAAAATTAAGGAACAAAAAGGCTTGCCGCGCGAGTCAACCCAATTGAACGGGGTTAGCAGCGCTAAGGCAGTACACTTAGGCGGTACACTAAGGCGGTACGGGCCCCGACGCGTCGGCTGAATCACAAACTCCTGTACCCCGTTACCACGGATCGGTTCTTGTGCGACGCAGATGGCGGGGCTGCAGGAGAAGGTGCGTCGAGCTTTATGACGTTATGTGCCGGCCCAGGTCGGGCGCCACCCGCTGTAACCCTAGGACGAAATCGAAGGCGGGTCCACCGCCAGACTCCGGAAAAAGAGAAGAGGGAAAAAAAGGGGGGCGCGCTGTGTCAAATCGACTTGGACTGAACTTGGAAACTGGCAGCCAACCAGTCAGCCCCGTCCGAGCTGTCACTAGAATTGCTCCCCCCAGCATCCTTGGGAAGGGCGCGCAGAAAGATGGGTCGGCCAGAGGCAGAAGCAAGTTGGGCTCGGTTCCATTCATCTGCATGCGCCTGCGACGATTGCCTACGAACGGCTCGCTGCCATGTCACTAGGTAGGGAGGAGACAAGTAAGCCTAGACAAGTACACTTACCTGCGTGCCCGCCTACAGTAGGCGAGAGGTGGGAGCCAGACCAGACCAGGCAGGCAGGCAGGCACAGGGTTGCGCATCGCATGGCGTCGGCACCAACCGTCAGAAACATGATTTTCCCTCCTCTCCCACCGGCCCTGTGATGGATTGGCATTGTTGGCGGTCTGGGTCGCGACCGGTCTCAACGCGAGAGCCTCCGTTTCGACCCCGAAACTCTGTTCTTTGTGACCCCTGAAGGCTAAGGGGACTGATGACGCAGAGCCTCTCGGGTGACGACATGACCGATACGACGTGCGTACTGTGTGTGTTTGAATGAGCCCGAACCGATGTAATCATCCGCGCCGCCAGAGGCAAAGTCAATTGGCCACCTGGGGATGAAAGACGTGACAAATTGATACATGTCCTTTGCCATTCACTCTCTACAGTACCGACAGTGAAGGCGGCCTGGCAGTCGAGAGTCGGTGTTGTTGGCGTCTGCCCGAGTGACAACTGGGTGAGGGGGTGGGTGGGTGTATTTTTGGGGCGTGGTGCGTGCTGGCCTGGCTGCTGCGCTGATGACGGAAGCAACTGGGGCAGGCGCACCAGAGCAGGTGTACCGGGGCAGGTACCTGGCTGTCCCCTGCGGCAGCCGGCGCTTGGTGCGTTGGTGGCTGCTCTCTGGTTTGGTCACTCTGTTGTCATCGTTCCGCCTCCCCGTTTCCAGCCAAACAGCACCCGCGGGCCCCAATATTTGCCCCCCCTGGTCTTCCCCCGGGGCCCACTGCGCGCGCCTATCCAATTGTCGCCGCCCGCACCACGACGAGGCACGGCTCTCCCTTCCGCCTGCGTTTGCGCTGCCGATCCCTACCCTCCTCGTCCACCACGGCTTTTTGGCCTTGCACTGCGTTGCTCTATCTCGTCTTTTGAGCGAGCACCCGGCGCCGTCTCAGTGGCACACCCCCCCTCTCTCGTCCCGACCTGCGCTGTTTGCCTATCGCTGCCGGTGATCTTCGCTCTTACGGGCCGCTCTAGAACGACCTTCTACGACACTCGAGCCTCTGCGATCGCCACTCGTGCAGCCGGGCCATTTCCTTCTACGCCCTCTCCCCGCTCCTGGCTCAGAGATCGGCCTTATTTCCCTCCCCTCTCCTCTTTCACCACCCTGGTTCGGGCTCTGCTTGGAGTGCAGTGAAGTCCCTCAGCTACAGTTGCAGGTTCAGGTGGGCTGCGAACGCATACTCTCTGCTTTGGTGATTTGTGGTCGCGCCGTGCTGCAGACACAAACGTCGGCAGAAGCAACGACCCCGGCCCTGGCCCTTGCTTCCTCCCTCATTCCTCCCTTTGCTGGGTGCCGCCAGTTTCGGACGCCAGCAAAAACGGGGATGCGCCTGTCCTCGCCCTTCCAATCTGGGTCTTGACGACTGACGACACTCTTGGGGGAAGACCCGCTTGGCTGCTCCACCCTGTCCCCAGAAGGAACTTCGAGTTTCTTCGACTCGAATAAAACAAGGCCCGCGGGCTGCCCACACACTGCAAACCTCGGCCAAACCATATCTTTCCCTTCGCCGCCTCGCCGCCACCACCGCCGCCGCTGCCGCCGCCGCCAAATTCACCATTACCAGCATAACCACCGCGACCGCGCCCCTCCCACGTTGTTTGTCTTCAACACCCACCAGGACTCGAAACCCGCTCCAGATTAGCCCACCATGGCGGCCTCATGAGCATCCAGGAAACGCGCTGGAGACGTCGTCGTGCTCGCCGTTGAGCCACCCGCTGTCACGAACCAACGTTGTGCCTAGAATGCCACCCGAACACCCGCAGTCAAGGCCCGATGAACACACCGCGCACTACGCCATGAAGACCTCTTCGAGACAGCCGTCGACGCCCTCCCAGGGCAGCGTCACCATTACTCACTCGGCCACCCAGCCCTTCTTCTCCCACAAGTCCACAACCCCGACAGCTGCATCACCACATTTTCCTTGCTCTGTCGGACAGCCTCACCCACCGCAGCTCTCGCCCTCTGCCGCCGGCGCCGCACCTCGGTACAACACCCCGCCCAGGATGACGGATGTCACCAACCGCACGCCCAGCCCAAACTACTTTGGCCTCATCGTCGAGTCATCCCACGATCCGCACGATTCGGCCAGACTGCCGAGGGAAAACTGGAGCCCCGCTACGTCATCGGTTCGATCCTTCGCCGCTGCGATTCCCAAGCAACTGCCGCTCGACGCGAACCCCGAGTTCGAGGCCTTCAAGAGGCAGGCCGATTCGAACAGGGGAAAGTCTGGCTTTAGCCTATCCACGTCTTCATTTAGCGTCGATATCAGCGCTGCCTCGTCGGGCGCGCCTGCCCGCCCGCGCCCGCCGAGATGGCACACCCACGGAAGCGACATGTCGCTGGATATGCCTGCCGCCATGAAGTCGACAGGGCCCGCTGCGACCCCGTTACCCATCGCGTCAACACAACAGGCGACACCCTTGGTTCTGCCCAGGGGCGCAGTGTCTGGATTCCGCCAGCCGTCCACGGGCCGCATGGACGTTGACGCCGACGCCGTCAGTCTCCACGATTCGGCCTACGTCTCTGGGGACTCCAAGAGGAATTCCGAGGCTTCTCTCAACCCCCCGTCGTTCCTCAACCTGCCGAGGTACGAGTCTCCTGGTCGCTTTGACTCGCCCATGGACAAGCGCACATCCTTGTCGACGGTTGAGGATCGGCACCCCCGCCTCTCGGTCACACATGGTCGCCCAGACCCGCCCGCTCCCGCCATTGGTAGTAGGCTAGGCAGGGCCGATACGCTCCCGGGGTCTTCCGCGGATCCCGCCGCACCTTCGCTACTGAGTGCCCAGGAGCTGAAGGACTTGCTACAGGGTCCAGGAGCCGACAAGATACTGCTGCTAGACATTCGCTCTTACCAAAAGTACTCGGCCTCGCGCATCCAGGGCGCCTTGAACCTCTGCATCCCCACGACGCTGCTCAAGCGGACCAGCTTCAATCTGCAGAAGCTTCAGGATACGTTCCAAGCCGACGCTGACCAGGAAAAGTTTGCCGATTGGCGCGAAACAAGCCACTTGATCGTCTACCACGACACGGAGAAGAAAGACGATGCCGCATGCATCAACATGCTCAAGAAGTTCACCTCGGAGAACTACACGGGCAAGGTGTGCATTCTACGTCGGGGCTTTGAAGGCTTTAGCCAGGCGTACCCCCAGCTTCTGGACCGACGCTCCGCCGCCGAGAGGACCGGTTCCGCAACGGATCAGGCTGCAATTGGCGCCGGCGGGGGATCGGACGGCGGCGCCGTGGCCAAGGTCATCGGTGGCTTCACGCTCCCGTCAGCCAGCGACGCGGCCCCTAGCGCCTTCTTCAGCAACATCCGACAGAACACGGAGCTCGTCAACGGCGTCGGCCAGATGGACATCGTCGTCCCGTCAGGTCTGAATCTGGCTGCGCTGCCATCGTGGCTTGGCAGGGCTGCCGAGGAGGGCAATCACGGCAAGGTGGTGTCGGACATGTTCTTGAACATAGAGAAGCGAGAACAGACCCGCATGCACAGGGCCTACACCTCGGCCGCAGCCCAACGCCAGCTGTCACTGAAGTCTGCCGAGTCTAGCCCTGCCCCTGTCCAACTCTCGGGAATCGAGAAGGGATCCAAAAACAGGTACAACAACATCTTGCCATTCGAGCACACCCGCGTTCGGCTTAACGAAAAGCTCTCGGGCGAGTGCGACTACATCAACGCGAGCCACATCACGAGCAGCAGGAGTCACAAGCGGTACATCTCCACCCAGGGCCCGCTACCCGCAACCTTCGAGGTATGTTTTCTTTTTGTGTTTGGATCCTGGCACGTCAATGGGCGTGGCTGACAGCAATACTAGGATTTCTGGTCCATGATATGGGAGCAAGACGTCCGAGTTATTGTGATGCTCACTGCCGAGCAGGAGGGAGGGCAGCTGAAATGTCACCCTTACTGGCGAGGGAAGGAGTTTGGACCCATCAGGCTCGTGGCGCTCAGTGAAAAGAAGGTGTCCCTCGACATTGACAAGCACCGTGTCGGCCCTCTTGCTCCGAACCCGCCACCCAATCCTAAGCAGACCGCTAGGCATAGCCGCCCGAATCCCAGTACACCTGGCCCGCAGACCACGCGGTCCCCGATGCCCTCCACCGAGGGGCGTCGTCGGTCTAACACAGCAACCGACCCCTTTGGTTTCAATCTTTCTCGTGGCGGCAGTGATGGCGCCGGCAGGCCACAGCTCTCGCCCACCGCTAGTGAGACGTCCTTCGTCATCGTTCGCAAGTTCGCCCTGAGCCACTCGGCGCATCCCTTTGCCCCCATCCGGGAAATCACCCATCTCCATTACCCGTCGTGGCCCGACTTTGGCGCACCTGCGCAGCCGAGCCACCTGCTCGCGCTCGTTGAGCTCGCCAACGTGATGCAGCGGGCCGCGCTCCCGCTCGATGTGTCGTCTGCTATCGCCGCATCCGCCGATAAGGAGAAGCTGTCGCCGCAGGACAGCAACAACGTTAGGGACTTTGTGCACGAGGTTTGGAACGATGACCCTGTGGGCGAATCGCAGGCCCGGCCGATCCTGGTGCACTGCTCGGCTGGTTGCGGGCGCACGGGCACTTTCTGCACGGTCGACACGGTGGTGGACATGCTCAAGCGGCAGCGGCAGAAGGCGGCGGCGAAGCAATCCCAGTCGGCAACGGCCGCGCGGCGGGGAAGGGCAACGAGGAGGCGCAAGGTGGGGGTCAAGCGGAAGCTGGAGCAGCGCGACTCGGAGGGTGATGTGTCCATGGCGGGTGCAGCGGGCGCGCGGGCTTCGATCTTCCACCATCACCACCATCGGCCGTCTGTCCCTGATGATGGCAGTGTCAGCCCGACATCATCCTTCCAGGGCGCCATCGATGCGACCTCTTCGGGCTTCCACTTCTCATCGCCGCCGCCCAGATTCCCTAGCCTGTCTAGCGTCTCGGCGTCGAGGAAAGGGCGGGCTGGCAGCAGCGGCGCTAGCGGGAGTGGTAGCGACGAGGGAGGCTATGGCGGCGGGGTAACGGCATCGCCCTACTCGTCCTCGTCTTCGTCAGACGAGTTGAATCGGCAACGCTCGCCGACGGCCAGTAGTGACGACTCAACCGACTCGGGACTAGACGCGTCGTGGATGCATGACGACAGGGCCGATGTGTTGGACCTGATCGCGGCCACGGTCGAGGACTTCAGGGGCCAGCGGCTCAGCATGGTACAGACGCTCCGCCAGTTTGTGCTCTGTTACGAGACTGTGCTCGAGTGGGCCGTGCGGTTGCAGGAGCGTACCGCCGCTGAAAGTGGCGACGTCGGCGCGGGGGCTAGTCGTCGTCAGCTGAGCCCACTGTCCAAAACTTCTGAGCGGATGTAACAGCAGTCTACACCGCGCTGGTTGCCAATACTACCTGAAAAGGTGCTAGTCGTCGCCGTGCCGAACCGTCTCCTACAACATCCTGACTAGCCAGCGCACTCTCTCTTCTTATATCTACCTTTTTTCTTCACTTTTATTCCTTCTTTCCACCCCCTTCCACCTACACGAATGTCTAATGAGACACTTTTATGCAAATTCAAGAATGGGTCGCATGGTACAGAGAATAGCATGATATAGGATTTCGGCATGGCTCGCTACTATCAGCGTAGGTTATTTCGACCTTTTTTCACTTTGTTTTATATGATACGTTAGGCCAGACAGGGAGCCTTTGGAGGCACATCATGGTCTTTTGTCCATTCTTCTTTTGTCCTTGTTTCTCCCCTATCGTCTGCTCAACCCACTTATGTTCCTTGTTTTGTCATCATGGCGGCGTTCTCGCGGGCATGGCAACGCTTGTTGTCTCGGTTTATCTCATCCGCTCGCTGGCCTCGTTCGGTCACTGCCGAGTTTTCCTGCATGAAACCTGATTTCTTTCAAGTATCTTCTTTCTCCCTACTGCTCTTCACTTTACCTTTTTAGTTCTTCTTTCCTACTACTACTTTCCCCTGCTTTCTCACAACAGAACATAAACAGCACATAGGCAAAAGGATGGCTCGACGAGCAAAAGGAAGGATGGTTATACTGGGCGCGCGTGCTGTTGTTGCTTTTTTTCTTTCCATGTTTCCTCCGACCAAACGAACAAGTCGGGCAAGGCGCACGTACATAAATCATATTGCTAGGTCTCAAAATTGGAAACGGTGGCTTTTGCAGCTCTTGGGCACTTTGCTGTCAATCTGCGTGCGATGCGACGAAAGTGCCTTGACCTCGGCCCCTCCATACTCAGTTGTCGTTGATTAGGGCGCGGGATCCATCTTTGCAAGCCAAAAGTCCACACATATGGGTATCGGATCTCGGTCTGCAAGATAAGCAAGGCCCCTACTACCTACATGAACCCACCCGATACAGCTACATGTATCAATATTTCGCTATCAACGCCATGCTTGTTGCCCTTGGGGATGGTTCCCCACATGCCGCCTTATCGATGACGCTCCCCCGTCGTCGCGTGGCCACCGCCTTATTTCGGGGCAAAGTGCAGCCGCTGCCACATGGGATACCTACGGGTTCCTGGAGGGGGGGGGGTCGAGCCACGAGACGGCCCTGCCTGCCTGCCTACCTCGATCGTACTATCACCCCCCCATCCCTCCATCCCCGTATGGGCGCCCTGCGATCCCGTATGTGGGGCCGTCTTGTCCGCTCGTCGCCCTCACACACACACACCCCGACGACCCCATCCCGAGGCGTCCGACGTGCTTTATCTCTTGGTCCGTCCCGATAGGCAGAACTCCTCTCGAGCGGTGTCTGCCTATGATGGAGTCTGGGCTTGGTGTGGCGTGGGCTGGGCTGGTGCGGCTTTGCCTTCAGCTCTTGGTGCAAAGTATAAAAACACCAAGAGCCGCCATGGTGTTTGTGCTGCTCTTTGGACTGGTACAGTCAGTGGCGGCTCTTTAAGCGAAGAAACCCCCCTTCAAGCTTTTGCTGCCCTTCGCCACTCACCTGCCGGTGGCACCGCTTCAAACCATACGCAGTAACTACTCCCCATCGTCGGCCCTCATGAGGACACCAACAGCGACGGCGCTGCTCCTGGGCGCTGCGGCGGCGGCCCCTTCGGCCAGCAGCAGCACCAGCAGCAGCACCAGCAGCAGTAGCAACCCCCTGCCGGTCCGCATATCCATCCGGTCGGCGCTCAACTCGCGGCTGGCCAACGTGCACATCTCGATGGACGCGGCGCCGGACGCAGGCGCCGCCGCCGTCAGCTTCACGTACGGCGCCTGCGACGCCGCGACGCCCGGGGGCGCGCACCATACCGTCGGGCGCGTCGCGGCGCCCCGCTCGGCCGACCGGCTCGTCTGGGTCGTGCCCCAGGGCGCCGGGTCGGGCGGGTGCGTGTCTGCCTGGGCCAATAATAACGACGACGACGACGGCGGCGGCGGCGGCGTCGTCGTCCTCGTCGGCCGCAGCGCACCCCTGGCCTTCGACCACGCCAACATGGCCAAGCTGCGGCGGCGCGGGGCCGCGTCGGCCGAGTCTGACGGGCGGCGGCGGCGGAGGCGGCAGCAGCAGCTGGACCCCATCGCCATGACCAAGGAGAACGGGTTCGAGGCGCAGGGCCCCTGGTTCGACGGCGTGGCCTTCCTCGCGGGCCGCAACGTCAGCGCCGTCGACGCCGCGGCGGCCAAGGGGCGGCGCATCGCCGTCGTGGGCGCGGGCATGTCCGGGCTCATGACGCACCTGGTGCTGTCGCAGGCCGGGTTCCGCAACCTGTCGGTCGTCGAGGCGTCGGCCCGGCTGGGCGGGCGCGTGCGCACCGCCTACCTCAGCGGCGGGCCGTGGGACTACTCGTACCAGGAGATGGGGCCGATGCGGTTCCCGAGCGAGTTTACGTACGAGAATAAGACGCACAACATCTCGGACCACCAGCTCGTGTTCCAGCTCGCCGCCGAGCTTAATAGGCTTAACGAGGGCCGGCCCGGCAACCTATCGGTCGACTTCATCCCGTGGATCCAAAGCAACGACAACGGGCTGGTGTATATGAACGGCTTCAAGCTGCCCTCGGGTCTGCCGCCGACGGTGGCGCAGATACGCGAAAACAGCACGCTCGGGGCGGCGCCGGTTCAGTATGATGCAGAGACTGCTGCCGCTGCTACTGCCCTGGCCACGGGTAGCAAGCCAAGCATAGAGTTTCTGCTCGAGGTGGCCAAGAACACGTTCAGGGCCCACAAGCACTGGATAGGTCAGCTCTGCAACCACCCCCACCCGCTCCTCTCCCTTTTCCCCTTGATGAGGTGGCCAGTGGGGAGCTCGACTTACACATGACCTTCTCTAATCACAGAGAGCGGCCCCTCCGGGCTCCCGGGTGACCAATGGAGCCAGTTTGCCTACATCAAGCACTACCTGAACGCTTCCCTCAACACGACCGACGTCCTGTCCAGCAGCTTCGACAGCTTCTGGTCCAATATCTACCACACGGTGTACTTTGGGGCCAGCAGCTGGAAGACCATCGACGGCGGGCTGAACCGGCTGCCGCTGGCGTTCCACCCGCACGTGGATGGGGACCTGACCCTGGGCCGCAAGATCGAGCGCGTGCAGTACTCGGCGACAGGGGGGCAGGCCGGGCGCGGCGAGGTGACGCTGCAGTGGCGGGCCGAGGGCGGGACCGACGGCGCGTGGGAGAGCGAGGCGTTCGACTACGCCGTCGTGGCGGTGCCCTTCTCCGTGGTCAAGGGCTGGCGGCTGCCGCCGCTGGGCGTCACCATCAGCAACGCCATCGGCAAGCTGCCCCAGGCGGCCTCGTGCAAGGTGGCGCTCGAGTACCGCAGCCGGTTCTGGGAGCGGCTCGAGAGGCCCATCCGGGGCGGCTGCTCGACCAGCTCCGACATACCCGGCATTGGGTCCGTCTGCTACCCGTCCTACAACATTGGCGGCTCGGGCCCGGCCTCGACCCTGGCGTCGTACAACACGGGAAGCACGTCCGACTACTTCGCGTCCATGCCCGAGGAGGAGCACGTGCGGCTGGTGCGCGAGGCCATGGTCGACATCCACGGGGACGTGGCGCGCGACGAGTACACGGGCAGGTACAACCGCAAGTGCTGGAAGCTGGACCCGCTGCAGGTCGGCGCCTTTGCGTCGCCGACGGTAGGGCAGATGGAGCTGTACCTGCCCGAGTACTTCAAGATGCACAGCAACGTAAGGAGCCGCCTCCCAGTTGTGTTGCCGCCGGCCGGGTTGCTGACCGACATGGCCGTTTCCAACAGATGGCCTTCATCGGTGAGCATACGTCGTACACACACGCGTGGATCGCTTCGGCGCTCGAGTCGGGCATCCGCGGGGCGGTGCAGATCATGTTGGGTAAGTCGTGGTATACACAGTATCCTGTGGAGGGATGGCGGCGGGCTGTTCCCTCGCGCTGAGCAGATGGCTAACCCGTTTCTGGCTTCGCTCGACTCAGAGCTGGGCCTCGTGGACGAAGCAAAAGCAGCTGTGGACAAGTGGATGGCGCGGTGGATGGATGTGTGATTTGGGCTCACTGTCATATAATTATTTGCCGCTGTTCTTCAACTCGGGCATCCAAATGTGTTTGAATATTCGCCTGCCCATCGTCCCTGTCGTGTGAGGCGAGGACGATTTTGCTGCTGGTCCCGCCATGGCCAACGTCTAAGGACCCTGCCAAGTCGTAATTGGGCCGAGATCCGATTACGACTCGGCCCCTGAAGATCAAATCGGGGTTTAAGCGGGTAATTCTGTGCTTTGTAGGACAGACTTGAGATGTCTGATTTCATATGTTGTACCCTCTGCCACGCATTACCAAGCGTCTTGTAGGTGGGCGTGGTGGGCTGTTGAGATGTATTCCAAGGAAGTCGGCGGGGGAATTTGCGCGAATACCCCTGACACTGCAGGACGTCTGCAGGGCCTCATCGGTGCGACTGTGCGTCTGTGCACCTTCTCCGGGCTGACGACAGAAATGAATCAACGGCTCTGTTGTGGTTGACACACGGTCTGCCAGCCATGACGACACTGCAATGCACAGCACTGAATCGCGCAACGGCCCAACAAACTGTTTGCGCTATGGGTGCCCCGTTAGGAATCGCACCGAATCGCCATCCACAGCATCCATGCCCTGGTTTCCCCGAGAGATAATGGTGGGGGAGCAGGGGTGGCTTTTACGGTCTGACAGGGGGTCGGTGGGGAAAAGGGCGAGCGCTAAGAACAGGTTGGATGAGGTCAATCAAAGGAGAAGTTTGATGCCTGCAGACCAACAAAAGAAGATTATGTGAAGAGCCCATGCAGAGTCTGCGTGGGCATGGGTGGGTGCCTGCATTGAATCGGGCGCGTTTTATTTTCTTCTCTCGGCCTTTCTAGCTTGACTTCTCTTCAAGTCAGGTTAGCTCGAGGCAGGAAGGAACGGTGCCAGCCGTGCCAGCCATCAAGCCAAGACCCTATGCATCGGCAGCTCCTATTGGGCCGCAAGCGCCACACACGCGACCACAATACATAACGCCAATACCTACCATGGGCAAATCGACAGCAGCTGGAGACTTGCTTCGTGCAGCTGGAGCTTACACCTCCACTGCTGTCCACTGCTGTGTACCACCACCCCGCCAACACCACACCTTGAGATGGGCCGCCAGCCAAGGATGGAAGACTTCATTGGGGAGAAGCACCGGCGACAGGGTTATGCCTGCCCGCCTGTGGGTTGGCAGCCACGCGGGTTAGTGGCACCACCCCCACCGGCCCCTCCGAGGTGCCACTGATGTGACGTACCGCGGCAACAGCCAAGCATTCTGTCGAGGGAAAGAGCGAGGGCCTGCGAGGGTGCAGCAGCCGGGCGGCCAATTCCAGCTCAAGGGTCTCCACGCATGTGACGGACGTCGACGGGCACGTTGCCTTGCGCGAGATCTCGAGGACAAGCCTCTCCGGGTCCCTGGGCCTGCCCATCCCGAGGCCACCAACTCGCTCTTGCTTGCCCTTGCTTCGGTTGGCTTGACGTTTTGAGCTTTATTTTACCTTATCTGGCTGGGCAATTGGCTTCTGCTTATCTTTTTATCTTTTTTTTTTTATCTTTTCACTTAGGTTCTGCCATCCCGTCCCGTCTCTCCTTTTCTGGCCTCCTTCTCTTCTTTTTTTCTTTTTCCTTTCCTCCCTCGCCAGGAACCCCGACCTAACGACAGCCTCTCATCACATCTCGGCCGAGCCTCCGCTCTTCGACCGGCCCATGCCACAAAACAGCGGCAGCTAACCGGCTCTCCTTTGATTACTCTGTCTCGTGTCCTTCCCTCTCGTGCGGCCTCCCTCCCGACAGCCATGTCGCACGTCCTCCCCCAGGACCCCGGGTCGCCGGACCACAGCGGCGACCTCGACCTCAAAAACGGCAAGGATGGCGCTCGACTGACGGACGGCCGACCCTCGGATGCCGAGGGCGAGTCGGCCGACCAGATGCTTGAGCACCTGGGCTACACGCCCGAGCTGAGCCGCAACCGCTCCACGGCGCAGGTGGCCTTCATGTCCTTTGTGCTCGCCTCGATCCCCTACGGCCTGGCCACCACCATGATTTACCCCCTTATTGGTGGCGGTCCTGTCAACATCATCTGGGGCTGGCTGCTCGTCTCGTGCATCATTCTGTGTGTTGCTGCGTCGCTGGGTGAAATCACGAGCGTGTACCCGACAGCCGGAGGTAGGAGCCAAGTTCTTGCACCCTGTTTCTTGTAGCTCGGCGGGCCGCATTGGTGGCGGATATGCATTGGTCGCGTGCCTGTCGTAGCGTCATCTCTCCCTACCCTCTACCGGCCTGTCACCGACGTCAAACAAAAACTCCAGGGCTAACACGGACCGCACCGACTAGGCGTGTATTACCAGGCCTTCATGCTGGCCCCGGCCGCCTGGCGCCGCGCAACGGCCTGGATTTGCGGCTGGCTCTATGTCGTCGGCAACATCACCATCACACTGGCTGTCAATTTCGGAACCACCCTCTTCTTCGTCGCCTGTATCAACGTGTTCAAGGGCGAGCCATACATGACCGAAGTAGACGGCGTCATGGTAGAGACGCAGGACGGTGTGTTCGCCGGCGAGGCGTATCAGGTCTTCCTCATCTTCCTGGCCATCACGTTCCTGTGCAACCTCGTGTCTGCGCTGGGTAACAGGTGGCTGCCATGGCTTGATGTCAGTATCTCGCCTTTGTCTTTATCTTCTCTGTGACTCCCTGGAAATACGAGTGCTGACTTACTCTATAGACTGCTGCCATCTTCTGGACGTTCGCCGGTCTTTTTGCCATTGTCATTTCCGTGCTCGCTATTGCCAAGAACGGTCGCCACGACGCCGCTTACGTGTTTGGCCACTTCGAGGCCAACTCGGGATGGCCTGATGGATGGTCCTTCTGCGTTGGTCTCCTGCACGCCGGATACGCGACCTCGTCGACTGGCATGATCATCAGCATGTGTGAGGAAGTGCAGAAGCCAGCGACCCAGGTGCCCAAGGCCATGGTGGCCACCATCTTCATCAACACCTTCGCCGGCCTCTTGTTCCTGATCCCGCTCGTCTTCGTGCTGCCCGACATCACGTACTTGATCAGCCTGGCCTCGGGTCAGCCGGTGCCCGAGATCATTCTCAGCGCTGTTGGCGCGCCCGGCCCGGCCATCGCCCTGCTCATCCCGCTCATGGTGCTCGCCATCATGTGCGGTATTTGCTGCACCACGGCCGCCTCGCGCTGCACCTGGGCCTTTGCCCGCGACGGAGCTATTCCCGGAGCCAGCTGGTGGCGCGTTGTCAACAACAAGCTTGACGTGCCTCTGAACGCCATGATGTTATCTATGGTCGTCCAGATCGTGCTGTCCCTCATTTACTTTGGCTCCTCGGCAGCCTTCAACGCCTTTTCGGGCGTGGGTGTCATCTGTCTGACTGCCTCGTACGCAACCCCCATCGCCATCAACCTGTTCACGGGCCGCAGGCAAGTCCAGGGCGCCCCCTTCCCGCTCCGCGGCGGCCTAGGTTACTTTTGCAACATTGTCGCGCTCGCCTGGTCCGCGCTCGCCATGCCGCTCTTCTGCATGCCCAGCATCGTCCCCGTCACAGCTACCACTGTCAACTACGCCCCTGTTGTCTTTGTCAGCGCCACCCTCATCTCGGCCGGATGGTATATCGCCTGGGGAAAGAAGCACTACACCGGCCCGCCGATTCAAGACCCTGCCCACTAAAGGGATTGGTCGCATTCTGCTGGGCGTAAACCTCCCGACCGCCTGGGCAGCAGCTGTGGTCTGAAAGGCGGTGCAGCGGCGGTGGGCTACCCGGCCAGCTGTTTCAACAACCTACCGCGCCTTGAAGCTGTCATCTCGGATGATGAAGAACCGACCGATCCGAGTCTCTCCTGTGCTACTCCTCCTTGGTTGCTTGCAGTGGAGTTAATCATGAAATCGTGTCGACATAATCTTGTTCATGGCTCGCACCATGGAACGTGACTTTTGATATATATACCTACCTCTATATATATATATATATATATATATATATACTATATATGA